TGTCGGAAGTGCAGAGTTTGGGACAAGCCTGGGCATATTGTTATGCCTTCCACTGCACTGCCTGGCAAGTTTAATGAAGAAGTGTTATGTGATCTGATGTTCTACAAACAAGAAAACTAAATCTTCCATATCACCGATCGTTGTAGACGATATGCTACTGGGATTGCGATACCAGACAAGACTATGAGAAGCATCCTGGATGCATATCATCAGAGTTGGATGCAGTTTGGACCTGCAAAAGTACTCTACTCCGACGGAGAGGGCGCCCTTAACAACGACACTGCGAAAGCAGTCCATAAGGCAAAAGGCACTGGACTTACGATACGTGCGCGTGGACAGCACGCCGCGACGATCGAAGCCAGAAATGGCATCCTGCGCCATCTACTTCACGCCATGGAAGCTGAACTCAATAGGTTGGACATACCTCTTGCGTTCACACGGCTACTGCACGAGGCCCTGTTCGCCGCCAACGCGGTCACCTTCTATAACGAGGTGTCTCCGTATAACGCTCTGTTTGGACGGCAACCAGCAACGCTTCCTGACTTACCTGTCCTGGACCACGAGCAGCCGACGGAAACGTCAGATCGTTCTCGTGAGCAGACGATACGCAGAGTACGTATTGAAGCTATCACAGAGGCCACAGCAGCAGCTAAGACCAATCGTGCCTCACGCACTAAGACACTTATTACTGGTCAGCACTATTACGACGAAGGAGACTTGGTCGATTATCATCGCCCCACGACCACGAAGGATGACTGGGGAGGCTGGAACGGCCCATTCCCAGTTGTAACGAGAGGTTGGCTCCGACAACACGGCACTACGCACAGTGTTGACGTTCGTGGCCAGTTGATCAGCGGGGAGACTTGCTCTGACCTTTGGCTATGTGCCGACCAAGAGAGGGACGCTTCAGATGACGAGTGCGGGCCGTCTATCTCCTAAGGTACATTTAGTTTTACAGTACCTAGTCAGAAATTTCTTCCGCATGGAGAATGTAGTTTCAGTCTGGCTCGCTAAGAGCATTCATAAGTACCCCCGGTTACTTATGCTGACAGCTGCACATTGGTCCACGATGACAACGACGTGAATCCAGGATATCACACTTATGAAGCAGAATGTACTGCACCGAATATACACGATATAACTTGATCAGCACATTCGAGAATTATCAAATGCCTGAAGCCCCCTAAACGTCAAGCAGGTTTTGATCAGGACATGACAAGATTTAAGGAATTGGCAGATACACCGACACGGAGGGAACCACAAGAGAAGCCCCAGGGGGCGAACCACCACATGATGATGGACGGCGTTCTACGATCTACGAAGAACGAGAGGTTGATCTCGAGTCACATGTTATGGACGTGCTGCATGCAGAACTACAAGAGGAAGGGGAACCTGCTGGAGGCAACTCCACTAGAGGACCTCCTTACCATACCTACACAGATGGTTGTGCTGATCACTGTAGCTGATGAACAGCGGGGACGCCTCCCGAAGTGGGGACGCACTCACGACTCCGACACCGAGGAGACGCACTACGTCCCAATGTGCACCATGGTCGAAGACGACAACTACGGACTGAACTCATACGAAAATGGTCAATATGGCGAACTCTCCTTCACGGCAGAAATGTCAAGGGTAGTCTTGTCCGGACAACAAAACAGTGTACTAGATGCCGACCGTGTGACCACTATACGAGTATACGTAACCGCCGCTGCCAAGCGAGCTGCTGTCGTCGAGGAAGACGGCCTCCTCGCGAAAGCTGACGTCCAGACGAATCCCGATAAAGTATCGAAGGCCCTTTGCACTGAGCTAAAGCGTCGAACATCATGACTTCGAGATACGTGCGCAAATGGAAGTTCGTGAAGAACGAGAAGGGCGAGATGGAAAGCACCATCAGATTACGCTTGGTACTCTGAGGCTGCATGGACCTTGAAGCCTTCGACGCAGCAACCTTTTCGGGAACAGCGCGACGGCCAAGCCAGAGGCTACTCGCCAGCACGGCAGCGTGCAAGAAGCAATGGATCATTGCTTCCCTCGACATCAACATGGCCTTCCTGAAGGGGTTGACCTATCAGGAACTTGCTGAGGCTACTGGTGAAAAACAGGAACGTGTGGCGTGTTTTACTTTGCCGCCTGGATCGGCCACAGCGCTTCGAACGCTTCCAGGATTCGAACACTACGACGAGTCAAAGCACTGCTTGCAGCGCTTGAAACCAGGCACGGGCACCAAAGACGCACCACGGGCTTTCTGATTAAAACTCAAAAGGACCACCAGAGATTTGGGCATCCGACCCACGTCCTACGACGAGGAGTTCGAGACGAGCAACAACCTGCTCACGGCCAAACACGTTGATGACATCAACATGGCCAGCACTGAGGACACCATTGACAAGTATGTCAAGTGCGTAGAAGACACCTTTGGGAAGTGTGAACTCAACAAGCACACACACCAACTGTGTTGTGAGATACACCAAGGATGAGGACGGCAATGTCACTTTGGACCAAGATGAGTACATCAAACAGCTCCGTCCTATACAGCATCCTGAACTTACCCGGCGCTGACGCTGACGCTCAGGCATCCAAGAAGGTGCAGACATGTTCGTCAGTCTCAGGGGCGCGCTGGCATATGCATTAATCACCCAGGTGTGGTTGATGGTGCATGTTGTATCTCTACAACGTGTTCAAGAACCGACCAACATCCAAGTGCCACGACTGAACGCGATCACCAGGAAGCTGCAGGCCTGCCCAAAGAAGATCGCCTACCAGGCGATGACTCCTACGGGCGAGGTCGACCTGCACAGCAACTCAGGATACCGACGCCTGAGTGGAGACGCCGACGACGACGTCAAATGCTATGGCATTCGCGGGGCAAACCTGCTACGACATGGAAACACGTCATCCGATAAACTTGTCGTTCACTTGATCGATGCGCACTGCAACTCTCACCGCTTGCAGGTCCGCTCGAGCTATTCAGCAGAGATTCTAGCAGCAGCCCATAATTTGGAGGACTGGAAACCACGATTGTGACTCTGCACGAGCTCCACGCAGGGCCGCTCACGCCCACTCAGTTGAAAGATACATTGGAGTTGGGCGGCCTGAGCATCAAGGTCACTTTGACCATAGATGCTGAGTCTGTTTTAAAGGCCTTGTCAAGCAAAGACTTGAAGAAACCGACTGGGTGTACCCTTTTAGGACACATCAGTTGGATACGACAGATGATGGAGCGTGGAATTGTGCACAGCATCCAGCGGTGCGACACCCGCGATATGACCGCGGATGGTCACACCAACGGGAGCATCGACAGATAAATGCTCCTACAAGCCATGGGAGGTATACAGGCCGTCAAACATGACCCGAAAAGTCATACTCCATATCGGGCCGGCCAGACATCCAGTTCTGACGCCGCTTGAGGAGTACTCCAAGTAAAGAATTGTATAAGCAAGGCAACTTGCAAGCGGGTTCACCTTCCTTCTGGCCCGCCCCTTTTTCCTGTCCTTGTGTATATTAGCTGCTGCGCCTGCTTTATAGGGGCGACGGGCTCACGCTTCGTCTCCCCCCCCCCGACTCTAAAGCGAGCTTAGGGACGTAAGGAGCGGGAGCGAGCGTGCGCCCGCGGCCGCGTCGGCTCAAGCGGCAGGCCGCCCAAATATGACTGTGCATCACCGCGAGGGACACAAACGCTATCGAGACCAAAGGGATACTCCTATTGTTTAAGATGGCACATCCTCTCCTACTGGGACTATCTACTACGGTACAACAGAGCTGGAGCTTGGCTTCGCCTAAGGCGAAGCTGTTGGCTGGGCCTCCCAGCCCCCTTCAAACTGAGGGCCCCTCGCTGCCCAGCTGCTGCCCCCGAAGGGCGGGCTGCGCCACAGGTCTCGCGCCTTGGCGGGCGGAGGGAGAGAGGCCAAGGGTTTGGGGTGCGGCTGTGGCGGCCGGCCGGGGGGGAGGTGGAAGGCAGGAAGGGGGAGTGGTGGGCAGGCAGGGTCGGGTGTTGCCGGAGGTGGTCCTGGTCCGAGGTTCTCCCAGTTTCTCGCGCCATTCTGGGGCCTCTGGCGCCCTCTGGGCCTTGTGAAGGGTGCTCTGGAAGCCATCTGCGCCTCCCCGGGAAAGCCGGGGTCGCTTCGGGCTTGGGCCACTCCTGGCATCGCCCGGCAGGGGGGAGAGGCGAAGCAGGTGGGCGGGTGGATGAAAGCCGGGGGGGCACGGAAGCAGGGAGGAGGAGGAGGAGGAGGAGGAGGAGAGGAGGAGGAGGAGGAGGAGGAGAGGTGGAGGAGGAGTGGGAGGAGGAGGGGGAGGAGGAGGAGGAGCAGGAGGGAGAGGAGGAGGAAGAGGATGAGGAGGAGGAGGAGAGGAGGGAGAGGAGGAGGAGGAGGAGGAGGAGGAGGGAGAGGAGGAGGAGAGGAGGAGGAGAGGAGGAGGAGGAGGGGGGGGGCGTGTGGGTGAAAAGCGGCCAGGGTGGACCCCAGGAGGGGTCTGGCGAGGGGTGTCGGAAGCAGTTTCGAACGGCTTTGGGAAGGAAGCAGGGATGTGGCCCCGAGGCGAGAGCCAGGTCGGGTGTAGAGTAGAGCCGAGATCGCAGAATGGCATGCGCAGTGTTTTCTTGCATGGTCTGCTTTGTGGCAGGGCGGGAAGCCCCAGTGCTCAGAGTGAAGCTCGCTGGTGTCCAGCATGTCTGAGCCATTCCAGCGCCAGGGCTCCATGGAGGAGGAGGAGGAGGAGGAGGAGGAGGAGGAGGAGGAGGAGAGGAGGAGGAGGGAGGAGGAGGAAGGAGGAGGAGGAGGGGAGGAGGAGGAGGAGGAGGAGGAGGAGAGGAGGAGGAGGAGGAGGAGGGAGGAGGGGGAGGAGGAGGAGGAGGAGGAGGAGGAGGAGGAGGAGGAGGAGGAGGAGGAGGAGGAGGAGGAGGAGGAGGAGGAGGAGTCGAATCCAACCATGGGCGGCAGACGCAGGAAAGGGGGGGGCGCGGGAGGGGCACGGAGCGGCGCGGCGTCCCGTTGCCAGGCTTTGCGCGCAGCTCGCGAGGAGCTGGAGGAGCCCCACTGCAACCAGCATCCTGCGGCTTGCCCACCGCTGCGTCCCACCAGCGCCGACCAACGCCGCCTTCCTTGGCGCCGACTAACGCCTCCTGACGCCTGCTAGCGCCTGCTACTCCCCCCCCGCTGTCTGCCCATGGGAAAGGGGCGAGGGGAGGGGAGAGGGGGGGGCGGAGCAAGCAGGGATGTTGAGGTGACTTCATCTCCGCCGTTCCCCCGCTCTGCAAGCGGGCAGGTGGCAGATGTTTCGCTTCTGTCCACCAGGACCCCTGGGGCCGCTTCTTTCTTCTCGTCCCCCCTTCGTAAAGGCGGCATCAGGGGCACGACTTCCCGCACCCCTGTTGCAACCGCTTTGGACGCACATTCGCTGCCCGAGGTGCCCGAGGTGCCCGAGATGCATCTGCCCAGCTCCCGTTCTCCTGAGGACGGCACAACCCAACCCCACCTCCAGCCAGGACCCCCCTCCCGACCTGGTGATCCAGGGGATCTGGGAGGTCCTGGCTGGCGGTGATGGCGGCGCTTTTTGGCCCGGGGAAACGTCCAAAAGCCACCCCCCCCTGTGCTGTCCTCGCCTCCCCTCCGCGCGGAGGGGCGGGACGTGCCTCCTGCCCCCAAGGAGATCCACCGCAACACCTCTTTCGCCAACTCGGAGCAGTGAGCGCGGCGGTCCCCCTGCGGCGAGGGCCCCACCCTGCGGGCCGCGGGGGCCGCGGCCCCGGCTGCGACGGGCTGGCTCCGAGTGACGACGGCCTTTGCGAGCCCCCGCGGCGCGCCGTCGCGCCTCGGCGGCGCGGGCGGGCCTCCTCTCCCTCCTCCGTCCGCCCGCGAGGGCGTGCAGGGAGATGCTTTCTGTGGACTCCTCGGCCTGGAACAGAAGCATCGTGCAGCCGACGAGGCGAGATCGGCTGCCACGCAGTTGTGCCAGGGCTGGATCCCTCGGACGGGCAGGGGAAAGGAGGAGCCCCGCCTCCCTTGAGGAGGAGCGCGCGCTGGCCCCCTGATTCGCTCGTCGACCATCCTTGCCTGGGACGGCCTGCACGTTGCCGGCATGCTCCTCACCTTCTTCTGAATGTATCCTCCTCGTCGCACCTCCAGACGTGTCGGTCGGGCGGGCGGGGCGCTTCGCGTGATACCTTCTCACGATGCCTGATATTGAAACGTGGATTTCATAGATGCATAAATATATAAGAAAAATGTGGCTATCGCTTAGCACCGCGCATACTCTGTCTAAAATATTGCAACATCTTCACGGATGGAGGGCATGCGGTTTCAAAATGGGGTTATCGCATGAGCGCCGCGCACACTCGTCTAAAGGGTTTCAACAGTTGAAACGATGAGGGTGTTGTTTTCAAAATGTGGCTCTCTCCTTAGAGCGCGCACAACCGTTTCTAATATCTACAACAGCTTCCAGGAGTCGCAGTCTGGCATGATGTAGGCTTGTCAGGACGCTACGGTAGCGTTGATTTGCTGTGTTGAGGCCAAGGCATGGAGTTCTGGCACGGTTTAGGGGTTGTCTGGATGCAACAGTGACGTCTATTCACGACGTGTAAGTCTCAGAAATTGTGTTTTGGCATTATCGGCGATTCTCGGACAGGCATCTTCCAATGGGGCACCATGAAGAGGAAACTTGTAGTGATGGTTTACTGCGACATCGTTGATGCGACTTGTATTTGCAGTAGTCTTCCTCTTCCTCATCCTCCTCCTCCCCCTTCTTCTCCTCATCCTCTTCCTCCTCCTCCTCCTCCTCCTCCTCCTCCTCCTCCTCCTCCTCCTCCTCCTCCTCCTCCTCCTCCTCTCCTCCCTTCCTCCTCCCCCTCCCCCTCCTCCTCCTCCTCCTCCTCCTCCTCCCTCCTCCTCCTCCTCCTCCTCCTCCTCCTCCTCCTCCTCCTCCTCCTCCTCCTCCTCCTCCTTCCTCCTCCTCCTCCTCCTCCTCCCTCCTCCTCCTCCTCCTCTCCTCCTCCTCCTCCTCCTCCTCCCTCTCCTCCTCCTCCTCCTCCTCCTCCTCCTCCTCCTCCTCCTCCTCCCCTCCTCCTCCTCCTCCTCCTCCTCCACCTCCTCCTCCTCCTCCTCCTCCTCCGCCTCCTCCTCCTCCTCCTCCTCCTCCTCCTCTCCTTCCTCCTCCTCCTCCTCCTCCTCCTCCCCCTCCTCTCCTCCTCCTCCCCTCCTCCTCCTCCTCCCCCCCTCCTCCCCCTCCTCCTCCTCCTCCTCCTCCACCCCTCCTCCTCCTCCTCCCCTCCTCCTCCTCCTCCTCCATCCTCCTCCTCCTCCCTCCTCCTCCCTTTCCCTTTCCCTTTTCCCTTTTCGCAGTTGGTGGCGCGCAGGCGCGCCAGGCCCCGCCGGGCCGGGACTGGGGCGCCGACCGCCTCGAGGGCCTATGGGCCCTCCGTTCCCGGACGCTCCAGCTGCGGGCGCACCTCGTTCAACCACAGCGCGTCCAAGACGCCCGCCAGCTCGTCCACCAGGCTGAGCGGGCGGATGTTGCCCATGCTCGATACGACTTGTGGCCCTTTCTTGCGGGCCGGAGTAACCTCGCGGACCTACCCGCTAGCAACCAGCCCAAACACCGCGGCTAAGTTGGTGATCGCCCACGTAAGCAGTAGGCCTGCTGGCGCCGCGCCAGCACGGCGAGGCAACCGTTGGCTAGCTTTGTCCACGTTGATCGCGTGGGGGCATTCCCCGCCATGACAGTCAATCCTTGTAGGGCACTATGAAGAGGAAACTTGCAGTGATGGTTTACTGCGACATCGTTGATGCGACTTGTATTTGCAGTAGTCCTCCTCTTCCTCATCCTCCTCCTCCCCCTTCTTCTCCTCATCCTCTTCCTCCTCCTCCTCCTCCTCCTCTCCTCCTCCTCCTCCTCCTCCTCCTCCTCCTCCTCCTCCTCCTCCTCCTCCTCCCTCCCCCCTCCTCCTCCTCCTCCTCCTCATCCTCCTCCTCCTCCTCCTCCTCCTCCTCCTCCTCCTCCTCCTCCTCTCCCCTCCTCCTTCTCCTCCTCCCCCTCCCCCTCCCTCTCCTCCTCCTCCTCCTCCTCCTCTCCTCCTCCTCCCCCTCCTCCTCCTCCTCCTCCCCCTCCTCTCCTCCTCCTCCCCTCCTCCTCCTCCTCCTCCTCCTCCTCCTCCTCCTCCTCCTCCTCCTCCTCCTCTCCTCCTCCTCCCCCCTCCCCTCCCTCTCCTCCTCCTCCCCTCCTCCTCCTCCTCCTCCTCCTCCTCCTCCTCCCTCCTCCTCCCTCTCCTCTCCTCCTCCTCCTCCTCCTCCTCCTCCTCCTCCTCCTCCTCCTCCTCTCTCCTCTCCTCCTCCTCCTCCTCCTCCTCCTCCTCCTCCTCCTCCTCCTCCTCCTTCCCTCTCCTCTCCTCCTCCTCTCCTCCTCCTCCTCCTCCTCCCCTCCTCCTCCTCCTCCTCCTCCTCCCCCTCCTCCTCCTCCTCCTCCTCCTCCTCCTCCTCCTCCTCTCCTCCTCCTCCTCCTCCTCCTCCTCCCTCTCCTCCTCCTCCTCCTCCTTGCCTTCGCACCGTGGCGCGGGGTGGAGCGCGCGGGCGCCCGAGCAACTGGCCCTGCCCAGCCGCCTTTGAGGCCTCTTGGGCCATCCTGAGGCCTTCTTCGGCAACTTGAGGGGCATTTTTGGAAGTCTCCATGGGCCGTCTCGGGGCGATCTCGGGAGGGCCTTTTGGGCCGTCGAGGAGCGTCGGGAGCCCGAAAAGGCCAGAACGCTGAAATCCATCAAGGACCTGAGGAAGCTCGATGGTTTTAGCATCCTGGGACCCGCATCACCGTGGCCCTGGGGCGCCCTGGCGCCTGGCAGGTCGCCCACGAGGCCGCGAAGTTCGCCGCGCTGCCGCGCCCTCGCGGGCCCGGTGACGGCGCCGTTCCTCTCTGGGAGGGCGGCGCGAGGGCGCGAAGGTAATTGCGCCTCGCGCTCCGCGCGGCGCAGGGCGCGGAGTCGGGTTACCCAGGAAGCTGGTTTACAGTCAACCCGCATAGTCAGGATAAGCAACTCTCCAAGGCTACTCTTGCATCCTTCCTTCCCCTTCGGCCCATCTTTGGCCGCTTTCGCTGGCCGCGCCCCGCTCGCAAAGTGTCGACATGGCCTTCCAAGGCCTTTGCATCCTTATCGCGCGTCCTTATTGTACGGGTGGACTGTACCTTGGATGCGGATTCGCTGATACCTTGATCTCCTGCGGTGTCCGATGATGAAGTGTGGTCGGACGCATGTGCCCAGCCACCACTCGAGGAGTCGACCCCGTGATCATTGTTCAGGCCTTGTGCGCTTCAGTCTCCCAGCGCTTGGGCGGAAGCCGCGATGGCTCACCGTGCTTGCTGGCTGTTGAGGCTGTTGGGTCCGCTGCGTGGCAGTTGGGCGCTCTGCTTTTGTTGTCTCTCCTTCTCGCTCTCGCCTCCTCGGTCACCCGCAGGGTCTTGAAGACAACCACGCTTCGTGGTATGGTAGGGGCCAGAGAGGTGCCCGTCTCTATCTTTGAGCAAGGGTGTTTCACATAGAGTTGTAAAAGCACACGCTTCAGTGCCATCACTATCCCTTCATCCTCCTTATTATCTCTACCTACATCCCCTCCCCTGTCCAGGTATACCTATCTCCATAGCCCTGGCCCTCTATCCCTACCCCCTTCTCCCTAACCTGATCCCGATCCCACCCATCGTGGCCCCCAATCGTGACCCCCCATCGTAGTCCCCAACGTAACTGTGCAAAACTATTCCCCAATCTGAGCTTGCCTCTGTAGGGGTCCTAGCGGATTCATCTGTGTAGGTGACCTACGTCGCCGATATCGGTGGCCAGCCCGGGTGCCCGGGGGCCCTGGGGTGCCCGGGTGCCCGGGGGAGCCCGGGGGAGCCCGGGTGCCCGAGGGTGCCCGGAGGTGCCCGGGGGGGGCCCGGGGGCCGGGGTGTCCGGGTGCCCGGTAGCTTTATAGCCCAAGAGCCCTATTGCCCTATTGCCCTATAGCCCTACAGCCCTATAGCCCTGATAGCCTTATAGCCCTATAGCCCTATAGCCTGAATGCCGTATTGCCCTATAGCCCTGTAGCCCTATAGCCCTATAGCCCTAAAGCCCTATAGCCCTGTAGCCCTAATAGCCCTATAGCCCTATAGCACTAACATCCCTGAAACCCTATAGCCCTATAGCCCAACAGCCCTGTAGCCTTATAGCCTTATAGCCCTATAGCCCAAAAAAGACCATGATTGAGGCTTTTCTCTGGCATCATTCAGGGTCTTCTGCCGCAAGAGTGTCCTTCTCATGGAGGCTGCGCGGGCCCTGGCTGATGTGCATCCCTATGACCCGCGGCGATTGTAGCTCTCCTGACTCCGCCCCCCTGCTGCTGCCTTCTCCTCCTCATCCTCCTGCTTCTCCTCCTCCTCCTCCTCCTCCTCCTCCTCCTCCTCCTCCTCCTCCTCCTCCTCCTCCTCTACACCTCCGTCGTGTGTACTGTGCGGGCGCGATCGGGACACCGCCGTGGCCGAGGGGCTCCGACCTGGCGGATACCCGCGCGAATGTTCGCCGGTTGTCTTGCTTGCTCCGAAGGAGGACAACAATTGATTCAGGAGGATCCTCTGTCGCGCTGAACAAAATTATGCGAACGGAGTTCCCCACATAAGGATGTTGAGGGCTTCGCGGGATCAATGAGGCAAAATGATAGCAACATGAATGGAAGGGCCATTGCAAAAATGCATGCGAAAGAAACGGCAGACGAAGGCAAGGAGGGGGAGCAGCCGGGAGGAAGACGACGGTTGTTCAGGAAGCACGTTCGTCCCTGGAGGGGTGGGAGGGGCACGGAACCTGATAAATAACATGGTTGTCGAATACCCTCCTTGCTCAGGCGGAGCCTGCCTGGAGGAGTGGGAGGGGCACGAAGCCATGGTTTTCGGATACCCTTTCTCGCTAAGGCGGGGCCTCCCTGGAGGAGTGGGAAGGGCACGAAACCTACTAACTAGCATTGTGTTCGAATACCCTCCTCGCTCAGGCGGGGCCTCCATGGAGGAGTGGCAGGCTCACGAAACCTCATAAATAACATGGTTCTCGAATACCCTCCTCGCTCAGGCGGGGCCTCCCTGCATGAATGGGAGGGGCACGAAACTTGATAAATGACATGGTTTTCGAATACCCTATCTCAGGCGGAGCTGCCTGGAGGAGTGGGAGGGGCACGAAGCCGTGGTTTTCGGATACCCTTCTCGCTAAGGCGGGGCCTCCCTGGAGGAGTGGGAGGGGCACGAAACCTACTAACTAGCATTGCTTGCGAATACTCTCCTCGCTCAGGCGGGGCTTCATGGTTTTCGAATACCCTCCTCGCTCAGGCGGGGCCTCTCTGGAGGAGTGGGATGGGCACGAAACATAATACATAACATTGTTTTCGATTACCCTCCTCGCTCAGGCGGGGCCTCCCTGCATGAATGGGAGGGGCACGAAACTTGATAAATGACATGGTTTTCGAATGCCCTCGCTCAGGCGGGGCCTCCCTGGAGGAGTGGGAGGGGCACGAAACTGGATAAATAACATGGTTTTCGAATACCCTCCTCGCTCAGTCGGGGCCTCCATGGAGGAGTGGGAGGGGCACGAAACTTGATAGATTTCATTGTTTTCGAATGCCCTCCTCGCTCAGGCGGTGCCTCCATGGAGGAGTGTGAGGGGCACGAAACTTGCTCGCTCAGGCGGGCCTCTCCTGAGGAATGGGAGGGGCACGAAACCTGAAAAATAACATGATTTTCGAATACCCTCCTCGCTCAGGCGGGGCCTCCCTGGATGAATGGGAGGGGAACGAAACTTGATTAATTTAATGATTTTCGAATGCCCTCCTCGCTCTGGCGGGGCCTTCCTGGAGGGATGGGAGGGGCACGAAACGTGGTAAACAGTATGGTATCCCGATACTGTCCTCGCTCAGGCGGGGCCTCCCTGGAGTGGTAGGTATGGTATGGTATGGTAGTTGTGATACGGTAGGTGTGGTATGGTATGGTATGGTAGGTATGGTAGGTATGGTATGGTATGGCAGGTATGGCATAGCATGGCATGATATGGTAAGTATGGTATGGTACTGTATGGCATGGTATGGTATGGTAGACATGGTAGGTATGGTGTGGTGTGGTATGGGATGGGATGGGATGGGATGGGATGGGATGGGGATGGGACGGTATGGTATGGTATGGTAGGTGTGGTATGGTAAGTATGGTATGGTAGGTAGTTATTGTGTTGGTACGGTACGTATTGGTATGGTAACGTAGGGAGGCGGGAGAAGGGGAAGGAGGAGAAGGAGAAGCAGAGGGTTTCTAGGAAAACTAGAACCCCAGCAATTCGTTTGCAACGTGCACATTGGCGCGCACATATGCGCTAGCATGTCGAGTGCATGACTGTATGTTCTCGACCACGGGACGAACATGACACACTATGGTGTGTAATGTGAGTATAATGGTGTTGAGCGGGGTGACACGCTACCGAAGCAAACAAATGCGACAAAGGTTTGCTGTTGCAGAAACCACATTCAGTTATCGCATTTACACTTGGAGACCTAGTCAACGTTGACGGTGGTATATGTGTCGGATCTTCGCACCCAGCTAGGAAGAACCAGTGAGGGTCACGATATCGAGTGGCCTTCCCACCACTGCGCCTGGGTTGTGGGTCAGAGGCATCCTGGATGCCAGTGAGGATTTCTTGAGAGGCCTCTCGGATCTCTCTTGGAGGCGGTTTTGAGGGTGCCTTGGGGCGTCTTGATGGCCTCTTCGGGCCGGATGTGGGCCCTCTTGGAGGCCTCTTGGGGCCTCTTCGGCGCATTTCGGGGGCTTGTGGGAGGGCTAGTGTCAGCTCATGTTTCCCATCTTGGGCCCCTCTCTGGTCCGGCTTGGGGGCCTCTTAAGCCCCTCTTGGGAGCTCTTGGACCGTTTGGGGGCGATTTCGGGTGTTTATTGGGCCGTCTTGGACGCTCTGAAGACCGAAAATTCAGTAAGACGAAAACCAAAAAAACAAAAAATGTTAACGAGTTTGGCCTCTTGGGCCGCCCTCTGGAGCCTCCAAGACGGCCCAAGAGGTGCCCAAGAGGGCTCCAGGACGGTCCCCAGGGCCATCTGAAACCATGTTGGACATGCATGTCCCGAACAACCCGCTCTTGGCCGATCGAAAAAGTCACACGGGTACCCCCGAAGAGCGCCCGAGAGTGCCAGGAATTGTGGGCTGTGGCCCCTTAAAGAACGTTTCCAGAATTCAACACAGAGAATTCAAAGGAACTTGAGGACACTCCAACTCGTGCCTCAGGGCACGGTGGCGGATACTCTTGTACTTCATGGTAATACCATGCAGGTACGCGTACTGAAATTGCAGCTACGTTGCACCGGCTTGGTCAATGTGTTTCAGCCTTGTGGGATTCCCGTTGTTGTTGTGTTCCAAGCCGCATTGTGGTTTGCGTTGGCTTGCCGCCTCGCGCTGATTTCAAAGAGCAGATTGCGTACCCCAGCTTTGGCCATAGCTGCCGACCAGGAGCGTGCTACACCCTCTTTCCGGGCCACGTTGAAGGCACCCCAGTTGCCTCCGCTATCAGTAATTATGTCAAACGCCTCCCACTGAGCCAAGACGCCAATATTTCTGGGGAGGCGGCAAAGATGCATATTGTCAGACTGATGTTCGCATTTTGCAGATAGGGATGAGCAAAGGCCCATGGATTGAGTGGAGGTCAAAAGTAGTCCGCACGTAGATGGCCAATTCACAAGCTCATGTCCGAGACCTGTTTCGGCCCAGTCCACCGCTATCCTATAACGCTACACACCCCACTCTCAAAACCGCATGTCCCCCAAAAAACATCGGTCAGGACGGTCACCCCCTCTAAATACCAGGCACCAGTCCCCAGATCTCTCTCTCTCTCTCTCTCTTTCTTTCTCTCTCTCTCTCTCTCTCTCTCTCTCGCTCTCTCTTGCACTGTTCTCTCTTACTGTGTTTTTTATCTCTCTCTCTCTCTCTCTCTCTTTCTCTCTCTCTCTCTCTCTCTCTCTGTCTCTCTCTCTCTCTCTCTCTCTCTCTTTTCTCTCTTTCTCGCTTTCTCTCTCTCTTTCTCTATCTCTCTCTCTCTCTCTCTCTGTCTATTCTCCCCGCACTCTGCTGGCGAGCGCCGCGGCGGGTCTCAGGGCCCTCGGCCTCGGCGCGGGGGCCAGCTCGCGCAGGGCGACCGAGGTGGGGCGGTGGCTGCAGACGGTGGGCTGGGGCGGACGGGCGGGGAAGATGGGACATGCAGATATTGTGTGCTTTGCGGGCGACCTCGTTGCGCCCGCTCGGCTTTCTATGACCTTTTCCAGCCCCAGCCCTCGTCTGGTCCAGCATGCATGTTGGATAGAGCGCCGCTGGTCTCCGAGTCCGTCCGCCTTCCCCTCTCGTCCTTCCTCCTGCCTCGCACCCCCTCCCGCCCCCCATCCTCCTGCCTGCCCTCTACTTCGCCTCCCTGGGCACTGTCAACTGCAGTTGCGTAACTTTCGCACTTTTTTAGAACTTCTAGCAGGTCCCGCAGATTGCATTCTTACGGGGGCCCAAATGAGGCCTCGCCTTCTCTGCGTGCTGCAAACGCGCAACTGGCGGTATTTTCGTGAGGTCCCGGGACTTACATTGATCCAAATTCAAATTACGACTCCCCAGCTTTGGACGCTGCCAACTGCGCAAGTGTCAGCCTTTTCGTAATCTCTTGGGGGGTCCAGAGCGCGGCCTTACGGCCCCGGGCTGCTAATTTCGCAATTGCTGGCACTTCCGTGAGCTCCTGGGATGTCCAGCTGAATGCGGTTTCACGCGAACCCAGGCTATTCTTCCTCCCTGGGCGCTGCCAGTTGCGCAACTGTCGCACTTTCTCTGGAGCCTTTTGGGAGTATCAGCGGAGTGCGGACTTACAGAGACCCGAACGAGACCTCGCCAGCTGCTCTGGATAGGGCAATAATCGCCCCCCCTTGGATCCGCTGGGGCGGGTGGGCACGTGCTGTCGGAACGGGTGGAGGGGGGGTTGGAGAAGGAGGAAGAGGAGGAGAAGGAGACGGGGGGGATGAGGAGGAGGAGGAGGGAGGAGGAGGAGGAGGTGGAGGAGGGGGGGGCGGGGCAAGCTTCGTCGGAAGGTCAGTCGCCCACCCATCGATTAATACCCCACCCAGAGTAAGGGTGCTGTCAAGCGTGCGCCTGCGTCGATTTTGCCCCACGTCGGTGTTGCCCACGTGGCTCCTTTTGGCTCTCGCAGGAGCCAGTGGCTGCCCGGTCTGGCGGGCTGGCTTTCTTCAGGGTGGTTTTGTGCTGTTTCTTTGTTTTTCCTGTATCTCCTCCTCTTCCTCCTGGAACACTTTTTAGGCCGTCTTGGGGGCCCTGTGGGCCTTCTTGAAGTCATCTTGGGTCGTCGTGGGGCTATTCTGGGCCGTCTCGACGCTTTCTTCGACTATCGTAGCGCTCTGCCTGGGCCCTCTTGGGGCTTCTTGGAGGCCCAAGAGGTTCCCAAGACGGCCCCAAGACGGCCCAATAGGTCCCCAAGAGGGCCCTGGTGTCGCGTCCCTCGGGGTTGCTTGGCTTTGTTTCCTTCTTGCTTATGAGCAGGCCTTCTTCGGGTTGCTCGGTCGTGTTGCCTCACTGTGTTGAAAGGAGCCTTCCTTGGGTTGCTTGGTCCTGCCTTTCCTTAGTGCCTTCCTCGG